TGTATAATCCCTTTTTAGAGTTTGTGTTTATTAAGAACCTATTTTTTTAATTGGAAAGATGATTGAATATCCACAAAATCAAAAATTTCACATAAACCATAAACATCAAACAGAACCATTTGCCTACCTCTAGGATTCCTGTGATGCAATCAAATGTGGTGTTTAACACCCACATTTTGACATTTAATGCTATTATCAACTAAAAGGAACCCAAACTCCTTGAAAAATAGCTGAAGTGACTTCCTGTGTCAGGAAAAAAATAGCTGAAGCTGGTATATTTCCCATGAAAGAATGCATACAGTGTACATTGTGTACTACCGCTAATAACAGCAAATGATAAAGAGGACAGCCTAGTGGGCATGCAGGAAAAATCTGAGCAGCCACAGGGGGAAAAACAAAAACCTGGAATATTTTAAGATCATTAAAATAGGCTAGATGATGCTGATAGGAACTGGTAACAAAAATGGTACACAAACATGAGTTTATCACATCTATAAAAGTACTATATATTCAATCACCCAAATTATGTGTTAACACTCAAGATTTTGTCAATGGAAAGATTATAAAATCCAAACATGGATTTGTTTTTACAGGAAGATTGAATTTAGAAAGACATGTAAAAAGTGAGTGTTCACTAAAAATTATCCAACTGAGAAATTTCAAAGTCAAAAATGAGAAAAGAAAAAGTCTTATATTGTATGCAATAGTAGTAACCCATCCACAGAATGACTCTTACTGATTTGAATTTCTTGGGTACCACCAACATGGTTTTCTCTGTTCAGTCTAGTCATGAAAAAACAAATAATGAGCAATAGAGGTGAATGTTCTCCTAATCTGTCAGCATTGCTATATTAAGAGGCGTGTACAAACTTGGTTCTCATTTGCCTCCACTAAAATGTCTCATGATGCTAACTCTTCAGTATATAAAATGTAGACACTGTGGACTGCATTGAGTTGCATATTCTCCCAAAGCCCTGAATTGAGGAAAGAACACATAATTACAATCATATAAAATTTCATATAAGAAAGTATTATTAGATTTTCTTTCTTGCAATAAGTTAATGATAGTGAGTTATTTTTGCACTAAAGTAATTACCAATATTGTCATACTCAAAATATAAGTTTAGTGCTGGCAAATAACAGGCAAATGACAAAGTTGTCAACTTTTATTTTGTTTGTTATATACATATTAAAGAACTGCATTTGGAGTTAAGTCTTCAAATTTCATTTTAGAACCTGCTCTAACACCACATAAATTTTCTGGCTCATTGACTTCACTATAGAATCCACCAAGCCAAAGTTAATAACTGCTTTAAATCTTCCAGATCAGATTTTATCTGCTTTCTATTTTATAGAAATAAAGTCTAACTTTATAACAAAGAGCTATAAATTCTAAGTGAATTACAATTTAACTAAAATTAATGGGATATATTTATGATAATTGCTTATTACATTTAATTCCTAATAACTCCACAATTTACTTTTCAGAGGAAATGTTCTATGCAAAATTTGCAGCGTCACTAAGAATTCAAAACACGCACTCATATATACTGTATTTTTTAATTTTATTATACTTTTCCATTTCTGTTATGCAAGATTTTAAAGAGCTGAGCCCCTGGGTAGCTTTGTTTCTAAAATCCCACACACCTGGAATGCTATATGAGTACAGTCAATTAGCTATAACTACACTTTCAACATTTTTCTATCACAGAATCGATGTTTTTTTTTTTTCCTTTAATAATCTTATAGTGAGAGGCTAGATGTTCTGTATTTCTTACTCATTACACATTTCCCTCTAAAAATTACACTGATTAATTCTAATCCTTGCACAAATAACTGGAAAGTACTGTGAGCCAACTGTGTAAATTTCTGCATGAATATGTATGAGTATGTTTATTAAAGCATATATTTGAAATATGGTCTTTCTGATGTCACCAATTATGAAAACATTTCTAATGACCAATGAGTGGTTATCATCTCTATAACCTCTTAGGTCTTTATTCATGTCATATCCCTTGCTAAAATTAATGAACCATGTGAATTTCAACAAATGGGACAACTGCAACTCCACATGAAACACAGCTCTCCAGACTTCTATCCCTTTCATAGCTCTTTGCTAAACCACACTCGACTTTTTATTCCTGTCTCAATTAGCAAGTATAGGAACTTTAATTTCATATATAATGTGTTGTATTAAATATACAACACCAAAAATATATTATAGTATATCATATACTGGACCCTTATTTAAATTATTTTGGTTATTTAAAATTGAATACTCCTAGATATTTTAAGAAATAACACTATTCTTTTTTTTGCTTTCTTTATTTTTTTATTTTATATATATATTTTTACATCATTTTTCATTTTTGCACAATGTATGCTTTTTCATCTTGGTTACAGTCCCCATACAATTTCCATCCCTCCTTGTTTTGATCCTACTCTCTCCTCCCTCCCCTGTAGTGTATCTCTGGTTTATAGCTGTTTGTTGATTTTGATTTTTTCTTTATTATAGTCTTTTTCCTGGTCCCTTATTTAGGTTTTCTAAATACCTCCTATGAGTGAGACCATCTGGTATTTTTCTTTTTCTTTCTGGCTTATTTCACTGAGCATGATCCCTTCCAGCTCCATCCATGATGCTGCAAATTGCATGTGTTTATCTTTTTTGATTGCTGAGTAATCCATTGTGTATATGTACCACATCTTCTCGATCTAGTCATCTATTTTTGGGCATTTGTGTTGTTTCCATAGCTTACCTATTGTAAATAGTGCTGCTATAAACATAAGGATGTAGGTGCCCTTTTGAATTAATGTTTTGGTGTCCTTTGGGTAAATACCTAGGAGTGGAATTGCTGGATCATATGGAAGCTCCATCTTTAGCAGGTTGAGGAATCTCCACACAGCTCTCCATAGTGGTTGGACCAGTTTGCACTCCCACCACCAGTGCAGGAGAGTTCCTTTTTCTCCACATCCTCGCCAACATTTGTTGTTGCTAGTTTTTTTAATATGTGCCATTCTCACTGTTGTAAGATGGTATCTCATTGTGGTTTTGATTTGCATTTCCCTGATTACAAGTGATGTTGAACATTTTTTCATATGCCTGTTGGCCATTTGCATTTCCTCTTTGGAGAAGTTTCTTTTTAGCTCTTCTGCTCATTTTTTGACTGGATTACTTCTCTTAATACCAAACTTTATCATATTGATGGTATTGGCTAATTAAGCTGTGAGAAAACACGATCAACAATTATTAACTTGATCTATTTTACCTATTGTATACTCATCTATAATCACTCTTAGTAAATACAAATACCAGAATTAGTTCATATGATATTAGTTTTTCTATAAAAATATGAAAGTACTAACAATCATTAATTTTAAAATTTGAATGGGTTTTCTGTACCACCTGTTTAACTTTGAAAAAAATTATAGCTTAGTTAGCTAAGTAGTATTTTAACATACCTCTTTGAAAATATTTATTTTCCTCCTAATTGCCATTGCCTTATGCCTTTTGTTTTTATAGATTCATTTAGCAAGAACATTTCCTGTATCTCTATTTGCCATTATCTCTATACTTGCTTTGAAAGTCTCATTTCTGTAACTTTTAATTAAATCAAATAACTGCCTTATTCTGAATTCTGAAAATTTATTAATCAAAGTTTTCCTTAGTATAGTTATTAAAACTATTTTAGTTTTCAAAAACATATTCACTAATTTAATATTCATGCAAACATAAAAATTGAATATTACAGTGTACTATTATAGTTTACTTTTACAGTTCTTTTTTAATCTTTTTGCCCCCTGCAATTTTACTGCACCTAAAATTTCACTAGCTAGTACTGGGTTCAATCACACAAGTAAATAAATTGACAGCCCTCCACTTTTTACTGTTTCCTGAAGTCCCCAATTTTAAGCCAGCAACTAATAGAATTACACGTAACTTGCACCTTATAAGCTCTCCCTTTCATGTTCATCATTTACTTTGTTTTGTATATATTTCCCCTAGAGTATGACATTTCAATTCTGTCTGACTTCTAAAGGCTTACTTCAACAGATGTTCCATATGGAGCTGGAAGGAGTGGTAGTTAGGTTTCTATAATTTTAATCAAATGTTCAATCATGTGAAGCCAGAGGGAGTTTCTGTTTGAATTACTATAAATTTCATACTGAGATGCTGTGTGGTGCAAAGACTCTAAAATGATATTTTCTAAAAGGTTACAAAATAAGTTGAAATAAGGGCCTCCTGGTGCTGCAGGGGTTAAAGTCTCAGCACTGTCAAGCTGTCACCAGCCACTGCAGCATGAGTTCAATTCCCAGCCAGAGAGCTAACCCACATGGCACAGCAGACCTCTCCTGTCTCATCCGCAGCTCCCCTCAGCAGGGCATTTCACTAGATCTGCCTGTTCTGCTCCCCACTATCTCTGGTTAATCCTGTCACCCCCCACACCTCTGGCCTGGACCCCAGTTTTGTATGCATAAATAAAAAATAAATCTTTAAAAAAAAGAAAAGGACCTCCCCTGGTGGCGCAGCAATTGAGCGCTGGGCTGCGAAACTGCCCGCAGCCTCTGCAGCACTGGTTCAATCCCTGGCCACCGGCAAGGGTCCCACACGGTGCGCAGACTTCTCCTGCTGCGCCCACTGCTCCCCTCAGCAGTGTATTTCGTCAGTCTGCTGTTCTGTTCCCTGCTCTGGCTCTGGTGAATTTTCTTACCCTCCGGTGCTTCTGACTGTACCCAGTGCTTGTATAAATAAATAAATCTTAAAAAAAGAAAAAAGAAAAAAAGAAAAGAAGTTGAAATATAGTTGAATATAAATAAAACGGTTTATGCAAGTTGAAGAGGACTGATACCTCTTTTCTTTGTCTAAACCACAAAGCCAGGCTGCCCTCATCTGTTGGCTGAAAGGGTTCCACCACAATGAATTATTTGTTAGCTGCTAGAAATTTTTGCTCCCAAAAACTCTTCTCTCATCTGTTGTCTATAACTTTTTTCCACAGGATATATATGGGTCTTCTGACCATCATAAACACATTTGAAATACATGTACTCCTAACAAAAGAAAAACTACCAACTTCAATTTGAGGTAAGTTAAAATGACTGGCATCAGACAAAGGAATTGAATATGTGACTCTGTTCACATAACGTATGAAAAGCATGGAGAGAAGGAGGATTGTTGATAAGGAATAGAGTAAAAGGACAAAGAATTTTATCAGAGAAAGGCAAAGCTACACTTTCTCTAATTTAAAGCTTCACTTAAGCCTAGCTCATCATTAAATCTTGGATGGAGAGATTGCAAAAACAAAGGAAAAAATTTGAAATGAAAAAATTAAAATGAAAAGATAAAGAAAAGGGCCTCCCCGGTGGCGAAGCGGTTGAGCACTGGGCTGCGAAGCTGCCTGCAGCCTCTGCAGCACCAGTTCGACCCCCGGCCTCCGGGTGAGGCTCCCACATGGTGCGCAGACCTCTCCTGCCGCCCGCTGCTCCCCTCAGCAGTGTACTTCGTCAGTCTGCCTGCTCTGCTCCCCGCTCTGACTCTGGTGAATTCTCTCACCCTCCCACTCTTCTGACTGTACCCAGTGCTTGTATAAATAAATAAATAAATCTTTAAAAAAAGATGCAATAATTCTAAAAAAAAAAAAAGAAAAGATAAAGAAAAGCATTAAAATGATTAAAATCAAGCTCATTTGCAGTTCTTATAGTTCTTATGCTCACAGCTATGCCTGTATATTGTCCTGCTTTATAACCAGGCTCAAACATCAATTTAAAGAGAAAAACTTAGACCCTTAATATGTTGGCAAACATATTCCAGATTTTTGCAGCTTTTCCCTATGTTTATTTTAGGTAATATGCTATGTAGTTTAGGCCAAAACTATAGTTTTAGGTGAAAAGCTGGAAAAATCAAAGACTATTTTTATATGCCATTACACATTTCTTCTGACACTTGGTATTTTAAATAACTCTAATTACTATTTTCACTGTGTTACAAAAATAAAATTACTATGAAGATATTTGTATCATTTAATTCAATGGACCTTGGAAAACACATGGTGAGGGGCAGAGGAAGGATGGAGTATAAAGTGGGCAGGGGGCCCAGTGAACTAGAAGACTATGGGTGCCTTGGCATAGTAATATATATCTGAAGAGATGTGATCCTGTACCTCTGAATCATTAATGTGTTGTAAACCAACATTACCTCCTTGAAAAATGATAAATGAAAAAGGATATTTTCTATCATTTAATGGCTGTGTACTATATTCAAAATTTAAAAATGGTCATTTAAAAATAACTTCTTTAATTATTCACCAATTTTCACCAGTGAAATTGTCAAATTAAATATAAAATTGTTAAGATTGGGGGTAAAGTCAATCAGGATAGCCCAAGTTATGCTGCAGCAATAACTACAAATTTTCAGAAATCTAATGTTCATGTCCTATTCAGATGGCTCTACCATTTGTATTTATTCAAACATCTAGGTTGACATTGCCTTCATAGTAGCATCACAAGACTATTTGATGATATTTCTGGAATAATTTCTTTCTTTGGATTATCAATTAAAGTGACCCTTGGATTCATCAGTCACTGATGATGAACAGAATTATTTTCTTAATCATTAGGCAATGCATCATCATGGGCTGAGGAATGTAGCATAGCAGCTTCTAAAGCAGGGATCATATCACTATTCTTAGACACTTATCTACATAAAATAATGTGTCACTATTTTCATATAGGTCTGATATAGACATAGTTTGTTTTACCACAGACAAGACGCTATGCTAATCTATTATTGGGGTATTTTGAACAAAAATGAAATGAATAGCAGCAGTTTGTTGTCTTTGAATTTGCTAAAGTCTGCAGCTATAACATTACTGAGAACAGAAGGTTGTTTATTGATGTGGCCCTCATGGCCACAGTATCTCTAAATTTTTCTCATTCTCTTTATTAGTTCAAACAATGCTAAGATTCACAACCATGTCTCTAATAACTTTTGAAATGAGGTGAGTTCAGGACTAATGGGATGTATGGGTAAGGATAGGATGTGGCCTCAAGAATAAATCTCTCCCAGAGCTCCTAGTCATTAGAAAATATAGCTTCAGTTCCCTCCATTTTATCATTGATAAATAACTACAGTCTTGAACTGGACTATGATAAGACTTTTGTATGTTAGCTAAGTTTGGAGGCAACTATGAGTGGCTCTGAACTCTGTGCTGGGGAACCATATTCAGCATGATACTCTGGTGTGGCATTATTATAATTATGAATCTATTCATCCTGTGGCTATCCCACTTAAGTTTCAACAAATTGGTCATTAAAGTCTGAATTAGCTATTATTCTCAGTAAAGTTCACTTTTTTGCATCTCTAATCAAATTTCTTATAAAATGCATGATTACTGATGATACAGTAAAGAGCAAAATGGCAGAATCTAATATAGAACATCACTTTTACTCATAGTAATTTTTAATTTACTGATTTTACTCTCTCTCTAAATTCTCAATAGTTTTCCTGTGAAGTGCAAATTTTGGAGAGTTAAAAAATTGATAGGTATCACAAATATTCTTGGGATTATAGAAAAAAACCTTACCCCTGCTCTAAGTGTAAATTAAGAGAAAACATTTTTGATTCTCAATGCCTAATAAAACTATTTATTTTTATAACTCCTGATAATAAGTAGCTTAGGGGAGTATTATTATAAAATAAATAACTTTGTTCATAAGTATGTAACTAAGTTGAGAGGATAAATAATGTTAATGAAGTCCTAAGCTCAATATTAAAGTAACAGCAGATCCCAAATGAGAAAACTATTTACAAAATTGTGTCTTACCTAAAGCAAGTATAATTTTAAATACTTAATTTTGAATATAAATTGGAATTTGTCATTTCCCAGTAGCATAGTAGAATAGTAATCAGTATGGAATGCTCCTTTATTTCTTTAATAGGAGGGAAAAAGACTATGTTTCTATCAAGATAAAGGAGTATGCAAAAGGACTTTTATCCATTCATGATTGCCTGACTGTCTCTTAGCATTTCAACCCAGTGGTCTACATTGCTGATATCAACAAGGGACTATAAAGCCCATTTTATTGTATTGTTGTAAAGTTTAACTGAGGTCAAATGTAAAGGGGCAAGATTAGTGCCCGTGAAGTAAGAGGCATTCCCAAACAAGTAACAATGATTGTAACACAAGCAATGGCATACAATCAGAAATCTCAAGTGATCCTTTATTTTTTTCCCCTCACTCACATCCTACCTAAATTCAACTAATCATTGAATTCAGCCATTAATTAATTTTTTTGAGTTCTATTTGAGAAGTATTTGAATCTATTCACTTCTCTCCACTGGTACTATAAATAATTTAATCCAAACCTCATTTTTCCCCTAGATTTGCTGACCATAAATATTTATTGAGTGACTACTTGCTGACCATAAATATTTATTGATTGACTACTACTCAATTTCATTTAAATTGTATTATTCTCCTTTCCCCAAATCCACACCAACTCTGTCTTAATCATATTTTGTTTACTTTATTCACATTATTACTTTCTGGAATGGCTTTCTTCCCATTAATCTGATTAAATCCTACCAGTTTATCAAGGCTCTGTTCAGAAAGCCTCCTCTGAAACTCCTTGCTCTTTCAGAACAGAAAGTAATCTGCTCTTGAAGTTAGCTAATGAAGCAAGCTGCCTCCACTTTCTTATGACACTTTTATACAAATTCTCTTCTAATAGGCTAAGATGTGTTAGAACAGTATGTGTGAAATGATTATCATTTTATGTTTCCAAGCATCTCTAGGACTACTCTATAATAATTCTACATCATTGAAGCTCAATACTCATTTGCCATAATATTATTGATACTTAAAATGTTGCAGTATCTCCCAAACTTACAAGTTATTTGAAGAAATTTGTTTAGAATGTAGACTTCTAGATTATTGTCCAGTGTAATAAATCCAACCCCCTAGTGAAATCTTACAGATTTACCTCTTTAGATGATGCTGTATGTAGACTGCATGTGAATAGAAAGCAAAGTACTTGCATATCCTTTTCCTAATGTCAATATTTAACTTTCACTCAGAAAGTTTTTTAAGCTTTCCTCTATTTTACTTAACCACAAAAGTTATACTTTTATAAAAATTTTCTTTATACAATTCCATCTTTGTTAAAATATGAAATCCAATATAGTCTTTGCTTTAATCAATAAAGGCTACAGATTTAAACAATAACCCAAAAAAACCCCACACTATCATTTTCTCTTTAAATTTCCTTTTGCCGTTTTAAATGAACATCATATCTTACAATTTGTCCATTTAATATTCATTGACCATTTTCACTATTTTATCTTCTTTTACAGCTTCTTTATTTTCATCCTTGTTCATAAACATCATGGATATTTACACAATTCATTATTATCACTGGGTTGTATAAGGTCCATATTCAGTTAAAAACATTTTTATGTAATTTGTCAATATTATAAATTACTTTCTAACACTTGATAATCATATTTTTTACACTTCATAGTTTATTTCTCAGCCAAATGATTCATTCTCAATCCTCCAAAATGGTGGCATTATTTCTATCACAAATAAAGAAGCACATAAAATCCTTATTCTATTTTTAGACTTGAAAAGATGTATAAAAATTGCTTGGTAAGCAAATATCTACAGTTTTCCTTCTTTCCGCTTTTCAAAAGCCCCTTCTGACTTATTTCACTAAGCATACTCTCCTGACACAATTAGCACACCACTGACACAATTCGATTCAAAACACTCCACCAAAAAACATAATCAATAATGAATGTAATATTAGATCAGAACAAATTCTTATCAAAATTCATCAGAAAAGCAACAGAAAGAAAAGAATGTATTGATCTATTATGATAAAACACAAGTGCAGTAAACCTACAGTAAATAAATGTAAAAGCTTTATTTAAAAAAATTCTATAATACTCTATAATAATTAACATTGGTTCAAATCAGACATATTAGATTATTTATGTCTTTAGACTCCATGAATTTTGCACAGTAATATTATATGTGGAAAAATTACGTTATTTAACACTCCAAACCTGAACTCAATTTAGCATAT